AAAATCTCCACCTCCTAGAACCTATCGGCAGTCCAGTTCACCTTCCCCGGCCAAAATCTCCTCATAGCCTGAGCCGCCAGAGTGGAAGATGTCGGTGCGACCCTCATTACTAACAGCACCGCCGAGCATTCTTCTCCAGCCCTATCCCCTTTCCGTCTGGATTGCTTCTTCTTGACCGAATTCGTGTTATCGGTCTAGTCTTCCCAGATCGAAGCGTGCTCCCCAGCCACGATATGGCCTTGGTCATCGTCCCTTCCGCCTGGATCTGGAGAGCCTCCGCGGCAGGGCACCTTGTCCGAACGAGCACCACCATAAATCTGAATCGAAAAATCACCTCCTCGTCGTGGATCTCGTCGTGCTCTGGAATCTAGATTTTAGCGACCCCAATTACAACCACGTTGGCGTGGATATGAACTCTGCCAAATTGGCAGCCGTCGCCACCGTTGGGTACTGATAGGAGGCGGCCGGAGGGAGGATTTCGTGTGGGTGATGATGAATCGGGGAGAGGTTTAGGGTTTGGATAGATTACCCACATTTGGTAATATTTTCCGCAAGAAAAGAAGAGTGCTGGCTCGCTTGGGGGGAATCCAAAGAGCCAAGGAAAATGACTCAGAGTTTGGATAATCTGGAAAAAAGATAGTAACGGGAGGCTTACATGATTTGGGAATTTTGGGATTACTTCATCTTTTTCATTTTTGAAAATGTTGTTTTTTTTTTAACAATTCCATGTATTTAATGTAGTCACACTCAGTAAACTGCAAGTTCCACGTAGGTATACCTAGCCGGACACGCTGTCATTTTTCGAACGTCCGACGAATTTAAGGTTCGTTTTGCAAAAGTACGACAAGGTCAAGATTATATTGCAATTATCTAAAAGTTTGGATTAAATTGCCAAAAGCTGAAAGGTCAAGGTTTAAATAGCAATTAACCATATATATAACTATACTCATTTACTATTTACCGCCCCTTTATTAGTCAATATCCCCCTTTTACTCTATTGCTCTTTATCTTTTTTGTGATTCTATCACTCTAAACTCTCTATCTCTCTAAATTCCCGAACTTTCAACGAGCGATTCGAACACCGAAAAAAATTCGAAAAAATACCGAAAAAATCCTACGGCATGGGCAAAACATACTTCTCTAGCCAGGTAATTTTTTTTTTACGCATGAAATAATTTATAAAAAAAAAAAANAAATATGGATGAAAATAAAAACTTCAATGTAAATTTTATATTTCAACTGAAATTCATACGGTAAAAATCCGTTGAAGTAATAGTCGTTATAATGATCAAATTCCATCTAAATTTCAATAGAGAACTCATTCCAACGGAATAACTCCGTAGGAACTTTCGTTGGAATCGTTCCAACGGAAACTATACCATTGAAACTTTTATTGAAATATATTATCGTAGGATTTTCCGTTGAAATATGACATTTTTTTGTAGGATACTATTTTTCTTTTTTGTAAATAGTTGACTTTTCATATATAAAGGAAATAGTAATTTTCCGAAAAATAAAACAAGCTTGAATTGGATGGATATTGATGGAACTCAAGTGAAACAATCGATCATCCCAAAGCAACTGTTAGGGCAGAAATTATATTAAGCATAGATGGATAACAGTGGGTTCTTCTCCTGCCTAAACTCTTTAAAACGTACAAATTGCACCAATATCCACCAATATTAAGTATACACAGATAGCTTCTTTTTTT